ATATATATATATATATAAATATATATATTCAATGGGCTGTCAAGACACATCAATTTGTGTTCACCTCATTAAGTTGCACATATTTTCAATTTGTTCAGTAAACGAATAAATTGAATACAAATAATTGTTTTGTGCTCGATATATAAACGAGTTAAATAAGAACGAACAAGCCAAAATTTATTCATTCGTGTTTGGCTCATATTGGCTATAAATAATTAAAAGCATTATTCTTAAATAATTTAAATGACTACAAGCATATAAAGAATTATAATCAATTAAAATTATTGATTCAAAAAGTTGAATAAAAATATATTAAATTATATTTAAATGAAAATTTTAATATAACTAATAAGATTTAAATCTCGACCATACCTTTAACATCCTACGACTGCATGACTAAGGATGTCAAAAATGGCTTGCTGTTCACGAACAACTCTTGTTCGGCTCTCTAAGCAAACGAGTCAAACACAAATAACTTTTTTGAGCTCATATATTAAAGAGTCAAACACGAACAATAATATTTTTTAACGAGGCGAACAAAAATTTAGCTATATTAAAAGCTTGTGTTATAAGAATAAATAAAAAAAAATTAGATTTTGGATATGCAAGTCCCTCATTTTAATTTTATATATCTCATAATAAAAGCCAAAATTTTTGAAGCATGCCATCTGTTTATTTTCTAGAATAATTATATCCAAAAGTTTATCTCAATTTAAAAAAAAATCCATCTTTTGCATGTATATTATTTATTGAAGTTTGTAGCAAACAAGTCTAGATTGAACTATTCAAACCTTGAACAGAGTTTAAACTTACATTCTAATTTGGTTGGAACCTGAAAATGCACCTAGCTAGACTGGAGAGAAGTGTGGGCAAGTGGCATATTTATGAAGAGATGATTGCGATATTTGTACGCTATGGTGAGCGCCAACATGAATGTCGCGGTGTAAAAGAGGAAAAAATATTAAGTATGGAGTCTGGACGCAAGTTACATCCGAACAATGGACGCGATACACCTGGGGCGTATTTTTTTTCTTCCTCTCTGTTTGTGCCCGAACTCCAAATACAATATTTTTTTCGTAAAATAGAGTTTTTTTTTATTATTATTATTGGAGCTTATTGAAAAAATATGTCTAACAAGCCAAGCGGCATGTGAAGAAGCAAAAATTTTTCTGTGCGGACTCCTGACGTAGCTCTACGTGCGGCGCAGGGTATTCCTAAGTTATTTTTCAGGTTAATTCTGGGTTATTTTTCATAATCCGGAAATAACCCAGAAATAACCCGCGGTCTTTATTTTTGGGTTATTTCGAAATTATTGAAAATAACCCAAAAATAACCTGAAAATAACTCAAGAATAATCTGCACCGCAAGTAGAGATACGTCAGGTGTCCAGACAGAAAATGCGCGCTTGAATGAGAGAGTAATTCACGACAATAACTTGTTGGGGGGCCGCCAATGAAAGCATGTCAAGTGGACGAGAAGAGGGATTCATGACTATGACTCACAAGCATTCAACAATCAGAGATAGTTTTAATATTTGTTTGAAGATCAATTTGACTCATGTTCGAATATGTGTTTAGACTGAGTTTGGTCATGGATTTGTACCAAGTTCAAATTCAAAACATGTTTGAACCCATTTCAAATACGTTGATTTTAAATGATAGTAAACGAATGCAATACATTACGTTGTACTATGATTAATTTGATCCAAAATAAATATTGATGCTTTTTATAAAAAAAATGAGAATAAATAGTTTGTATATTTATCGAGTTTTGAAGAGATCAGATTCCTGATTTGGTTGAAGAAGAACTCTAGTACGATGAGGGGGCCTGAGGAAATGTTATTTGCAGTGAAGATTGTTCCCCAATGAGAATAAATAGTTGGTATATTTATCGAGTTTTGAAGAGATCAAATTCCTGATTTGGTTGAAGAGGAACTCTAGTACGATGAGGGGGTCTGAGGAAATGTTATTTGCAGTGAAGATTGTTCCCCCAGTCTAGAAGCGATTCTCCAAAACTTCTAATTTGAATAAAATGTGGGATGAATAACTCACAATAATCGTGCTCGGGACGTTAACATTAATGATATTTTGAAATTACAGTGAAAGTTGTCGCTCAGCCTAGAGGTAGTGAAAAACTTTATGTCTGAATAGGATGCAGGAAGACAACCCCGTGACAATCATGCCCGGGACGTTGATGTGAATGACATTTCGAGACAAAAATAAAGCTTGCCCCCCGCTTTAAAGAATGCTCGAGAGAATATATTCAAAATGCAAAGGAGGTTCCTTCGCACAGTTAGATAATGTGCATCGTTAGGAAATGAAGTAGGAGCCAGCTTCTTTGAGTTGAAGACAGTGGCGAACGGTACTTCATTTCTCACATACGGTGTCAAATTGATGTGTGCTAGAACATTCACAGGAATAGAGTAATAGATTATCATCTTAACGTTGCGCGAAGATTCAACGCACACTCAAATAAAAAAAAAACAACCAATAGATATATCATAAGTTTTTACTTGAAAAACCTGTCAAGGGAAAAAATAGTAGGAGTCTAGTCTAGTTGTAAAAATCTACTATAAGTTGATGATTGTATAATTTCTTGTCCCACAGGCGAGAAAGAGTTGCAGAGTTTTCCGAATTACAACGCCAACGTGTTAATGACCTTGTTCCAAGGAACGAGCGACGACTGATAGCGATCGGCGTCGACCGATAAATGACTGTTAACGAAGGTCAAAAGTGATCGAATGCGATTGACAGCTGTCAACAATTTTCAAGCTTTTTCTCAAGCCTCAAGCTCTCATCCTCATGAGAGGGGCGGGACTCTATTTATAGAGTTTAAAGTGCAATTAATGCATGAATATAAACCACTTTGATCAGACGACTCACATGACTTCACTTGATCAGATAATGTTTGATGGACATTTGAATGTTTTAATGATGTTGAAATTAAGTGATCTTAGGCTCGTGGAATTTTTTTTATCGAGACACTTGATTCGACTATATGTTCGCGAAATTCGACATCGTTTGACAGCCAAACTGTATCCATAAAGCTTTGAAATGTTGTTTAATGGCTTGATCAGAGCTCAATTTGGTTCATATTGGATCCATTTTGGTACCATTGAGCTTGTCTCGTCAAGTTAGTCAGTTTGAGTATGAGTTTACTGAAATCAGAGCACAGATGACTTTTTATCGAGGTTTGAATATTTCTTGTTTAAAAGATTTTCTCGAGATCTATGCTTTGCCATGAGATTTGTGATGATTAATGGAAATTATAATAAAATGTTAAATACAACAAGTAATGAGAAAAACAATAAAAAATTACTTAATAAAATATTATTTTTAAAATATTTCTAATACTTCACGAGGAGAAAAACAATAAAAATTACTTAATAAAATATATAAAATATTATTTTTAAAATATTTCTAATACTTCAAAAATAAATAAAGTAGTCCAATTTAATATATTTTGAGTATATTTTCTATTAATATTTTTCCTTAAAACGAACTCACTCACGAGCTAACGAGTGAACTTGGCTTGTTAGCTCATCGAGTTTAGTTCATAAAATATTTATCGAGCCGGCTCACCAGCCGGCTTGACTCAATGACACCAGAGTAGGCAAAATGTACACCGGCCTAATTAAAAGTTCAAGACCGGTCGACCTCATCGACCCCCCTAGGCCGCTCAATCATCTATATCCAGTAAATAAAAAAGCAGACTTGCCCCAGCAGGCTGCAGAGCTCCTGTAAGTTTCGCTTCCCCTCGCTTCGCTCTCTATCTTCTCGTCCCTTTCTTCTCCTTCCTGGAAGCAGCTTACTGCACTTTACTAGGACAGCAGGAAAACTTCTCGTTTGTTCGCGGGAAATATGTCTGGGAAGGGTGCGAAGGGCCTCATCACGGCGGGCAAAACATCGGTTCTCAAGGACAAGGATAAGAAGAAGCCGGTGTCCCGATCTTCCCGAGCTGGTCTTCAGGTCAGATCTCCGAATCCTTCGTCCTAATATATCTTTCTTGTTTATTCTTTCAAGGATCTTTCTGCTAAGTGTGGGGTTTTTCATGGATCGTTGACGATATCGTCAGCGGTCGCGAGAATCAAGATGTCAATGGCGTCGATCTGTATTTGCAGCCATTTTAACTGATGGAAGCTGTACTCGTTGCTTAGATTTGGCTAGATGGCAAGTGTAGGGTGTGGTTTTGAATACGGGATTTAGTAATGGGTGAAGGATAGGGCTGCATCTTTAGGGCAGGGTTGTTTCACTGTAAAGTTTTATGTTGCAAATATTTTGAGTGTGCTGCATTTGAAAGGCCGGATTTTTAATTTTTTGGAAGATTTACATGCATACCGCTTGAATCTTATGTTTTTAGATATCTAACACCTAAACTTCAATTTTTACATAAATGTCACTTTACCTTTGCATGAAAAAGGTGTATTTCACTCTTTCTAAGTTAAAATAGTGATATTTTTTCTGTGATAAGAAATATTTGAGTGGTATAAATGTAAAAATTAAATTTTAGGTGCATGTAAAAAATCAAGGTATTGGTGTTAGATATGTAAATACATAAGGATTGGGTGGTATCTATGTAAATGCCTAAATTTTTTTACTGCTGTATGGTAGTAAGTCGATCATCATAAAAATTATGTTCAATAAATGTTAACTTTTTTGCACATTCTCTTGACACATCAACTCAAGTGTCATATTTTCAAGTTGAGCCTTTTCTTCAAGTGCCAGTTCTCTTTATAATAAATAGTAAAATACTAGTTACAACATAGTTAAGAATAGAAATGATTAAAAAGAAGAACTCACCAAAATTTAAGGCAATCAAATGAATTCCAAATATTAACCTCAGTTTGAAATCTAAGGAAGAAAGCTGTAGATGTCAGGTTATTATTTGTCACCGTTGGCGAGAAATTGATAATAAAATGATGATTACAAACTCTTTCACAGAGGAAGAAGGGCATGAACCAAACATTTATGGAGGGCAATTATATATTGTAATATAACTCTAGGCTTTTTTTTATGATATTAAAAATATTTAAATTTGATAGTTCAAAACAAATTTTCTTCTTATAATAACTTACATGAGAGAAAAATTTGAACTCATTTCAATTATGATAATAGTTGAACATACCAATGTGAGCCATTCAAACCACTTTTAGCATCTCTAATTGACATTTTCGAAACATGGAGGACCTTTAAAAGAATCCCAACCATCCAAAATTAATTGATTGACTGAAATTGGTAATTGCATTGTGTGCAATAGGAGAGGATTCAAATCCATTAGATAGATGTTAAAATAATGTTTACTTTTAAAGGACATTAAAAATGATAAACAAATTTGCATCACAAAAAAGTAAAATAAATAGATAAATTATTATTGTAATCCATGATAACACCAACATATGTATTAACATCAATAGAAAGTTGAACAAACTAAAACAAAAACCTTTTATTTTTATAAAAAATAAAAAAAACAATAAATAAAATCCTTTAGACTTGCAGCCACCCGACATCCCACTTAATATAGTTTTGACGTTAGCACTTGCCTTTGAATATGAACTTGCATGGTCACAAAATAGGCATGATACCCCTCTTCTTGTTCTCTCACCTGATCGGAATCTACATGAAGATGATGAACTATGGCTGTGGCATCACACAATCAGAACTGCAACCAACATCTCTACCCTAAACTTAAGAGAGTAAAGAGTTGAATGCGCCTTGATGCCTAGCTAAACATATATATTAGTTATTTAAGATATGTCAGTGTGTTATAATATAATATATGTTTTATATCATCCTATAATGTAATAAAATTTTTATAGAAATTCATTGAGGTAAACCCCTCAAACAAAATTTTTGACCATATTTTATATATTTGAAAGGTTTTATGGATTGAAGTGAAGTATTTTTTCTTTTAATGTGAACCTACATGAAGCATTATTTAAAACTCAGCCACTCATGTGATATTTATCCTATTGTTAATTTCATAGCTGCAGACATCACATATCTTGCAATTAGTTTTATTGATCGATGGTATAATATATTTTTTTCTCTCTTCCAAAATTGGATTTGTTGAATTCATTCTTGGTGAATATTCTTCATTAGTGGTGGCAAGAACTACCTCATGTCTAGACAGTGTGTCCGTACAATATGATGACCATCGAAGATCAATTTTATACTTCACATTTAATCCAATAACTTTTGAAACACTGCTTACAAATCCTCCTACTCTAGTTGTAGCACGATTCTCAAGATTCTAATTCAAATTAAATTAAGTTGCATTTGTAAGGTGTAGAAATATACAACTTTGATTTCATTTGAAGGCTGATATGGATTTGATGTAAACTTTTGGCTATTTCATGTGGTGTGATCATTAATAAAAGTGACAAAATGTAGAGAATCGCCAATAGACTGAACTGAAGCAGGACCCATACTTCAATATTTACTAACTTTAGCTTTTTAGACTTTAACTTTGACACATTTTTTAAAAAATTAACTTTCTTTTGCTTGTCATAAACACAATATTCACAAAAATCTAATTTATAGACTTTATTTAATGATGTCTATTTGTATAAAAAAAGAGATTTTGTATTTTTCTTACTCATATGACCAAGCTTGTGATGCCAAAGATCAACATCATATTTTGTTTCAATTATTCCATTGGATTTAGATATCTCATTGATTAGATAAAGGGTGCATTTAATGTCGGCTCGAGCCTTCACATTGCACCTTTAGTCGCCGTCTACACATTTTTTGCAGAAGTAGTCAAATACTCTTCCTGTAAAGATGATTCATAGAAATCAAATATCTCTTGAAATATGAATCATGTCTAACTTCTTTCAATTTTCATATTGATCCATTTGTCGACCTGATATCAACATCACCATTTTTAATAATATTGCATTGCTATTTCCTAAATATATTTTTCCCTAGATCATCCTGAGTGTAATTATTAAAAATCACTTTGTTGGGGCTAGCATAAAAGGCACATGAATCTACAATTTATGATTCAGTATTATCTAGTGATAATATAAGTGAGTCGTCTTGGATTTTATCTGTGGAAATTTTTGTAGATAGCTTTCTATTTGGACCTTCACCGCCAACCTTGTTTGGAACTTTGCATTTTTTCTTAATGTGACATTTTTTCTTACAGTTCTAGCATTCAAATCCGTTTTTTTCTTTCCCTTAAACCGGCTTCACTCTTGTTATCATATTTCTCTGTTTGAGTTACTATCCAGATCTTTTCATATTGTATTAATATTTAGAGCAGAATTTGAATTTCTACTGCTTTCCTTAACTTTTTCATTCGGAATTAATCTCACTATATCATCAAAGTTTAATTTCATATTTCTTGAAAAATTACTCGTCGCAATAAGCAGTCAATTCTAAATACTAACAAGGAAGCAAGAAGTAACAGTGTCCTAGCATCGTCATCAAACTCGATGCCAACAGAGTGAAACTGATTTGACATAGTATTGAAGTTATTCAAGTGTTCAATCACTGAACTCTCATACACGATCTTTATATTGAATAATCTCTTCATTAGAAAAAAAAATTGTTTGAAGTTGGAAACTTCTCATATATTTTTGTTAGTGTGACCATAAGATCAACAATAGTCATTTCATTCACAATCTTGAAAACAACGACAACAACAACAACAAAACCTTTTTTCCACTAAATGGGGTCGGCTATATAAATCCTTTTTCTCCATTGTATTTTATTTATTGTCATATTTAACAATCTTGAAAACAACGAAAGAGAAAAATGAGAATCGGATCAAACCTTGGGTTGTTCGATCAAGAACTTTCCATTTTCTAAAGTCATCGATTTCAAGTTCTTAGTGATTCCATCCAATAACAAATGCTATTTTTTTATATAATAAATATTTAATTTCTATTTTTTCAGAAAGCAAAATTTAAACCATTGAACTTCTCAATTGTATATATCGCTTCGACGACCATTAATTGCACTCGAATCAAATTACTTTAGAACTTGATGCACTCTGATACCACTTATTGGGAGATTTAAATTGTGATTACAAATTCGAGATATCGAAGCACACAAATCAAGAAAACATAGAGAACACTAGATTTAACATGGAAATACCTAAGAATTGGAAAAATCATGGAACTGTGCCACTCCAAAAAATCCACCATGAAGAAAAAAATGAGGAGAATATACAACCTACACCACACTCAAGCATCTACACACTTAGGACACTCCAACTCCCTGACACGAGAATTCAAAATCCAACTTTCCCTCAAACCTCTCATTCTGAACCATGGCTTTCCACTTCTAAACCACATCAAATAGATTCTTAAAATGCTACTTTATAAATTTATATTGATGGAGCTGGCCTGCATGGTGCCTGGCTTGATTATTACTATATACCATGGGTAACACTAGGGGTTATGAATTAAGCTATGTTTGGTGTTCTGGTACTATATTTGGACAACTAGTTGCCATTTTCTCTTACAGAGATCAACGAGATCCTCCTGATAGGCACATTTGGTTACTTGAAGTTAGAACGTGTTGAAACAATGATGAATTTTCTAGATTACATCATTTGGTTTGATGTGTTAATAAACCAATATCGATTATCAACTATGAAGTCATTGTCGATTCCCTCTAAAGTTGGGATTTCATTCATACTTTAACTGAACGATAACAAAATTAGTAAGCAACTAGGTTTTCTGAATGCTGATTATTTTCAAGAAACTGCATCAGCAAAGACCTGAGAATCTCAGGAGCTCAGTTTTCAATTGAAATTCAGACTTGCATTTTCAAGTCTTTTGCAAAGTTTCCTGTTTCTCGTGAGTTTGCACATCAAGGCATAAATTTCATCGAGTTGGAGCCTATATTGAAAAGAGTCCTAATGTTGGATTTCATTCAATAACCTAAAATGTTTCACAACTAGGTTTTTGTTCAGTTAGATAGCCATTTTGGTTTGCCTTTAAGATCTTAAAGAGCAATCTGCTAGACGTGATGGTGAATTAGTATTTTAGTAATCTTGTCGTATGTTGACCATATAACACCTATGATAAGTTTGAACATGGATCAAATAAATATGCTGTATGACATGACTTGAGACATGACCTTTCTTGTAAATACAGACTGCAAAAATAGGTAAAAAATTCACTTCACTCGTAATGCTTCAAAATAACATGTGATAAATAAGGAGTAAAATTATTAATCTCATTTTGTCTCAGGATCAAATGTCACCAATCATAGCTTTCACAATAGTAGAATAATACAAAATATTTATCCAAACATGCGCACTTGATTGTTCTAAAAGGTGACTTGAAAGCTTTAGGATTTTTTCTTTAAAAAAAAAAAGTAGCATGTCTGACACGATGTCTTAGACTCCTAAACATGGCTGACAATCTTGCTCAAAACTTAAAACTCACTTGAAGTTCAATCTACTCAAAATCAGATTGTTTTGCTTCAGCTCGAAGACACTTTGTTTGAAATTTATTTGTTTAATGTTGGTATGGAATGCTTCTATGTTAAACATGCTTGCGTGTATACATGCATGATCAGCTAAAAAATTGATTCAAAAATGATTTATTTTTATTCTAGTTGAGTTGAAATTGGGATTTTTAATTTTGATTTTTGGCTTCTTGCTCATATTTTACTCCGTACCAACGCTATTCTAGAGTATCCTCTTACAGCTGGTTTTTAAGCATACATAAATTCAAAAACACTTTGAAGCTGCAAATAATCGTTCAAAAAGATTCCATTTTTAGGCTAAAAGAGTTGTATGGTGTGTTGCGTATGGAGCCTTATTGGCAGCAGTAGGGTAAGCCCAACAACAAAAGGTGTTTCTAGCGTTGCGCACCCTCATCTGATTGGCGCCGAGGTGTGTGGACACAAAGGATGCGATGCCTCTGTGCCCATATGGAGCGCACTCGTGCCTGGGCCCGCGGTTCCCAATACTATTTTCAGGGCAACTTTTGCCCAATTCTAGAGAACATGACGCTCCCTTGCCCAAGAGTGGCACGACAATTCTCTCTCCTGATTCGTTGTAAGTCTTCAATTAGAGCGATTAAAGTACTCTCGCGTGCAATGTTTCTCCATTGGTTCGCTAATGAAGGTGAATTGTCGGGAGTATGGTTTCACAGCGAGGACTTTCTCTTGTGAGATCAAGAGGAAGGTTTGTAGTGAAGATCTGTAATTTTTGTGTTTGTAGAGAGTTGTTCTGAGTTTGTATCTCTGAACAATTCTGGTTCTTCATAGTGAAAATTTTGTGGTTTTGCTCCATGATTTTTTCCCATTCTCGTGTTTTTCCACATCAACCTTGGTGTGCTTTTCTAAGAGTGTTTTGTTGTGCTTCTATTTAATTTTTTTATTTTGGATTTCTCAAATAGGTGAGATCCTATTCCGCATTGTAGATAATATGTTGATTGCAGGGTCAGATATGTAGAAAATCAACGAGTTAAATGAACAATTATCAAGTGAGTTTAAGATGAAGAATTTATGTCAAACCAGAATGATCCTTGAGATGAGAATCAACATGGACATGAGTATAAGTACACTGAAGCTGTTTTAGGTACAATATGTTGAGAAGATTCTACAAAAGTTCAACATGGGTGAGACAAAATCAATTTGCATGCCCTTAGATAATCACTTCAAGCTATCTAAAGAATTATTGCTTAAGTCAAAGTAGAGAAAACACACATGGGGATAACTTAGTATGCTTCAACAATCAAGAGTTTGATGTTATGATTTATACGAGACCAGATATTGCATTATAGTACGAGTGATCGGTTGGTATATAGGCAATCCAGACAGATGTCAATTGGAATCTGATCAAGTTGATTCTCAAGTATTTGAAGGGAATAATCAACATGACACTTTGCAGTGGGTGTGCATAGTATGTTGGGATTTATAGATTTAGATATAGCAGGAGATTTGAACAGTAGAAGTATAATAAGTTATATATTCACTTTGAGAAACATAGCGATGAGTTGGATTTCATGCTGCAGAAAATTATTGCACTTTTAATTACAGAGTTCGAATACATTGCTATTATTGAGGCTGACAAGAAAATGATTTGCTTGTGGAATTGAAAAGTTTCATAGTGACAGTATTTGTGTAATTCATCTTTTGTTAAGAAGCTAATTTTCATGTCATAACAATACATTTAGTTGATGTATCACTTCATACACTCTCCTAGAAGATGGACAGTTGTTCTTGGAGAAGATACAACTTAGAATTCTGCAAATATGTTGATGAATGTGGTGACTATCGAGAAGTTGGAGCATGCTTGGCTTCAGTTGGAATCTAGGAATGTTGAGACCGGGTGTGTGTGTCACATTACTGTACGTGACTATGAAGGCAGTATAGATGGAGGTGCAGATATATGGTGAAGAGGTGTTGAGGTGCAAATCAATCTTAAAGTGGGTGATTGTTGTGCATGGAGCCTGATTGTAGCAACAGGGCTTACCCAATGATAGGAGGTGTTTCTGACGTGACGCACCCTCTCATAGACAGCTCCCCTGCATGTGGAGACAGAGAACGCGGCGCCCCCGTGCCCAACGGGGCTCGCTCGAGTTTGGGTCCGTGGCGCCTGTGCACTGTTTTTGGGGCGCCTTTGTGCCCGGTTCCAAAGAGCGTAACACTCCCTTTCCTGGCACAGACGTGCCTATGGTAGTTCTTTTCCAATTTGGTTTAAGTCTTCGATTTGAGCGACATAAGAAGTGCTCTCAGTCGCGGTGTTTCTTGATTGGTTCTCTCGTTAAGGTGAATTGCCCGGAGAATGATTTCGGAGCAATAAATTTCTCCTGTAAGATCGAGAGGAAGGTGTGAAGAGAAAATTTGTAAGGTTTGTGCTTTTAGAGAGTTGATCTGAGTGTGTATCTCTGTACAATTTTGATTTTTTATAGTAGAAATTTTTTGGTGCTTTGGCTCTATCATTTTTTCTCATTTTCGGGTTTTTTCACTTAAATCTTGGTGTGCTTTTCTGATGTTATTTTGTTGTGCTTCTATTCATATTTTTTGTTTCAAATTTGTCGAATTGGTGTGATCCTTTTCTTCGTTCTAGTTTTGATTCTAATTGATCGAAGCCCAAGGTTATTATAGTTCCATCCCAACAAACCGTACTTCACGTTTCACATTGCAAATATTTGCCTTCTAAAATAATCTTGAGCAATATCCAATTTATATCAGATTTTATAAGCTAGTCAAACCCTTTAAGGAGATTATTGTAAATATGGCTGTATATCCAAATGATGGAGATCTTATGTGATTTATTATTCGTTGCCGTCCTTGTACCCGTATTATTAAATCCCTAATTTCTGCAGCTTCAATGACTGCCTTTTCTCTGCTTGCATCTTTGTTTTGCATATGTTTTCATCATGTTTTTTTTTCTCCTTAAAGCCATTAGTGGCAGTTTTTTGTAGCATTGTTTAAAAAGCATACGCTTATTTGTTTGAGCCTGCAATGAAAGTCCGGTTGAATCTATAATAAGTTTCCTTTTAGGTAGTTTTCCAGTTATTGCTTACGTTTATCTCGGGCTTTATTTGATTCATCTTTCATCCCAAACTTCCAAAAAAACATTTTAACCTGAAAATTGTAAATAATTGGTTTGTAACCACTCTCTCCTTTCTTCATTTCAGTTCCCGGGTGTTCACCGTCTGCTCAAATCGCGCATCGCCACAAATGGAAGAGTAGGAGCTACCGCTGCAGTTTACTGCGCTGCTATTCTGGAATACCTCACCGCTGAAGTTCTGGAGCTTGCTGGCAATGCGAGCAAAGACTTGAAAGTGAAGCGTATAACACCGAGGCATTTGCAACTCGCAATACGCGGTGACGAAGAGCTCGATACACTCATCAAAGGAACCATAGCAGGCGGCGGCGTGATCCCCCACATCCACAAGTCCCTCATCAACAAGTCCTCCAAAGAGTAATTTTCATTATTTAGCTTTCCGCTTTGCCTCTGATTACGAGAAATTATTAGATGCGGACAATGGATATTGCTTTTACACATGATGATGTAGAGTATGTTGTTTGCATCTAGTGACTTTTGCTTTATGATATGCTCTCTCTACTTGTATTGCATGCTTATATGTATGTTAAGGAGAATCTATTTATATGTCTTGCATTTAGATGATTTTCTTGACATCATGAACAATGTATTCTTTAGGCACTGTTGCTTTTCATTGGCTTCAAGATTTTAATGCTTTTAAAGTGGATTGTTAGGGGCCTTAGTTTTGTTGACTCACTCTTGCATGAGAGGAAAATTAGGCTGCAATTGTGTATTAGAGGCAATGCATATGGGTGACATTGCTATGCTTTGGTTATCCTCTATATATATATGCTGTCAATGTCATTGTCAATTTAGAAGCTATGTCAGGAGTGTGTATATTGTGTCATGTAATAAATTATAAAAAAAAATAAAGAAAGCAGAAGAAAGTTTATTAATATCTGTGGTAAAGTTTCAATCAATCTTATACTCATTGGATGAGGATTTTATTCAATGTTAAAGAATAAATGTTTATATGCAAAGAGAAATCTAATCATTCCTTTTAAAATTCCAAGCACACCACATTTATTAGGATTTTATTCAATGTTAAATTATTAAGTTTGTTTTGATATGAATGTTATTTATAAAATCTAATTGATTGTCCATATATTATACTAATCTTAAAATGTAAGGCTCATCTTAATCAAAATCTGATATTACAAACCTAAACTTTTTATTTTGACATTTATACGACTCGAATCTTTCACATCACACAAAAAATACTATCGTTTTAACTTTTAAAAGGTGAAATAATTAATGCGTGCATAAGTAAGCTGGCGTGCATGTAAAAATTGAAGTGCGAGCGTTAGATATATAAATACATAGGAATTCAACGGCGTGCATGCGAATCTTCCTATTTTTTGTTTCACATTGACATCTCGTGAAAGACAAAAAATATTACATCAGGAGTTCTGATGCGCTTGGCCTCTGCTGTCAAACACATGTAAAGATTGTTTAGCAATGTCATAAACCTTTTACTCTTCAGGATAACTAACCCCTCAATTCAGCAAGCTTTGGAACCTCAACAGGAAAATTGTCAGTCTCTTGAATCCATGGATTCTTCTCCTTCTCAAAGGCCACATCCCTCGTTGCCTTCCAAACAGCACTGTTACATTTAAATCCAGACCCAAATGCAATCTGCCATGTCCTGTCTCCCTTCCTGATCCTCCCCCCTTCGACTCCATACACGCCAATTCATACCAAACAGAGCTGGCTCAGGAGACGGCTTGACTTAAAGAGTTCAGGATTTGAAAAATTAATTATTGCCAAAATTTAATTAGAGGTTCAACTGAGATGAAAAATACTATTGAAATTATATAAATGATATAGTATTTTCAATAATAATAATAATTAGAGATTTTATGCTTGTTTATATAATAATATTTAGTGGCGTTTACCAACATAGCACACAATTCTTATCTATTTATACGTCTCGTAGTTTGAGGTTGAGCAATTTGACAACATTTATGGTTGACACGCCACCAACAAATCTGCATCATCTAACACAAATCTTGAGACAAGATGCGGATCTCGAGGCACTTTTTCTAGTAAGAAATGTTCAAAAATCAATAAAAAGTCATTCAGAAATCTGATTTCAACAGACTTACAATCAAACTGGTTGGCTCAACAAGAACTCAACGTCACCAAAATTGGTTCAATCTAAACCAAATCAAGCCCATATTAAGCCATTAAACCGCTTTTGGAAGATTTTTGTACAAATTTGGAAGGTGAAATGAATGTTGATTCTGACGAGTTTACAGTCAAATCAAGAGTTTTGACAAGATGAATCTAAGATCACTCAATTCTAACATCATTAAGACTCTCAAATGGTCATCAAATGTCGTCCGATCGAGGGAAGCCCTCTGAGTCGTCCGATCAAAGTGACTCATATTACTATACTAATTGCACCCAGAACTCTATCAACAGATGCCCACCCCTCTCATTAAAGGAAGGGAGGGAAGGAGGGGGGAGCTTAAGGCTCGAGAAAGTGCATGAAACTTTGAGAAGAAACTAAAGTTCAATATCACTTCTACCGCCAACCACCATCGCCTGACTGCCTCCGACAATTCTTATGTATTCACATATCAGACACCTAAAATCTCATGTTTACTTGCATAGCATTTCAATCTTTAATATCACATTACAAGCAACACTATTAACCACTTTCTAAAAGCGAAGTTCAACTTTTTTATGCGTATGTTAAGGCCGTGTTTGAAGCCACGGTACAACTCCTTTAAGGTCAAGCGAACGTAGAAAAAAATGCATTTTCTATCTTTGGCACAACTGCGTCGTCAGAAGTTCATCAAAGAAACATCAATTTTTTGTCATTTCAGATTGCAACATCTCTATCACTTCAATCCATCGTTCCCTCCATTCCGCCATTCCATTGTTCACGAGATCTGCCGTGCTCTCTTAAAATTACATATATTAATGCCAAAAAAAAAAAATTCCTTTCAAACGATAGATAATTTTTAACAATCAAAATGTTATAATGTCGTTTATGTTGAAGTTGCTTTTAACAGAGCTTCTATGGCACACAAGTCTCTCTCAAAGCCTAAACCAACAAAATGTTATGTATGTTAATATGAATGTTTAGATGCGAGCCACTTTAATATTTACTTCTATGACACAAGTAAGTCTATAATATGCAATGGAAAATAGGAAGTTTTGTGTGCACACCTCTCAATTCTTATGTATTTACATATCTATTGGCTTCAATTTTTACATAAATGTTATCTTACTTTGTGACATGAAAGATTTGGGTCGTATAAATGTCAGAAAAGTAAAGTTTAGGTGTTTGATATATAAATATATATGAATTGGGTGGTATCTATGTAAATGCCCCTTAAAACTATCACTAATATTAATTTTTTTAGAAGTGAAAAATACATTTTAATTTGAAAATGAGAGTGATGCCAAAATATTATATAAATAAATATCTTAATTTAGACATTAAAAATATAAATACTTAAGAGTAATGTGACATGCAATTCTTTTTCTTCATTTTTTTTTAATCTAAATGAGGTTTTTTTCTTATAGAAATAAGCTTAAATTTAAATATTTTTTAAAATAATATAAAAAATTAATATTTAAAAAGTATAATTAATATTATTTTAATTATTCAATTAATTAGTCAGAAAGGGTGAGGTATAATCAAGCAGAATGTACTTTTAGTAGGTTCATTTATAAATTAAAGCTCAATAAAATTATTTATGTTTGACTTAATTCATTTAATGAAAGAATAAAGGACAATAATATTTTATTTATTTATTTGACAGCACTAATTAGGAGATGACATTTGTTGTTTGCCGCTAGGGCTGTCAAAACGGCTTGTTGTTCACGAACAGCTCGTGTTCGGCTCGTTAAGAAGCTCCTGTTTGTTTCGTTCACTGATGTTTTAAATCTTACCCTAATCCTTAACATCTTATGACATATCTTATGTCTACGTGATTAAGGTTGTCAAAATGACTTTGTTTGTGAAAGGCTTGTGTTCGGCTCGCTAAGCAAACGAGCCGAACACAAACACTCTTTTTGAGCTCAAAATATAAACGAGCTCGTATTCAACTCGTTTTATATGGAGGACTGCAGTAGTGGCTGGGAGTTGAAGCTTTATACATTTATGTTTTTAAATATTCATGATAACAATAAAGTTTGTAGTCGGCAACAGTAATCAACGAAAAATAAGTAAATAATTTAAATTTTTATTCCATGTTATATAATTATTAAATATCATGAATGAGATAGAATTTTTATTTTGGTTATTTGTATTTCATATTATATATATATATATATATA